TTTTTTCCATTATTTCAAGGGAAGAACTTACAGGAACCCCTTCATTTCCCTAAGGGAAAAACCAGGACGTTCCATCCTAATCCATCTGGTCGCGAGGATTGGGAGAAGTCCTTCAAAGGCGCTTTGAAAGGCTGCTGGCATGGAGGTGTACCCCATAAGTTCTGGATGGAAAAAATGTCATGGAAAATCCACATGATCCGATGAAAATCCGATGATTCGGATGGGGGATTGGGGGGGACCTCCATTTTTTGTAAAACCTCCAGATGACTGAACATTTTTTCACATCCATTCACATCCATTTACATCCCAGCTATGAACCAGATGAAACACGCATGGGCCACCATCTTGTACCCTGAAGAACTATCGACTAGCATAGGATTTGGCACGACTCAGCGAGAAAGATATAGTTGATTTTCTGGCAGCAGGTTTCAATTTCGGGTCCTCTGTGCTCTGATGGCCGGTGGTCGTAAACATCTTTTGTTTTCCACCTGCTGATTATTCTTAATTTAATGAGTTGGATTTCACGAGCTACGGAGTCTACATGAATCTACTGGCATTGCACTTTTGCAGATGTTACTATTACAAGATACAATGTCACGTTCTATTCATGTTTCCAGATTTGAAACGTCCACTCATTCGCCGGTTGTTGGCTGCATGGAAGCTGCTTTATGTTTGCTCCCTGTGACAGCAACGATGACCCCAGTAAATTGTGAACTGTACACATAAAGAAAATAACCAGCACTTGATTCGTACGCATACAAACTATGATACATTCAACTTTGATTACCGGTAGAGGTTATGTTCCTTTTAAAGGCTGCAGTTAAATGTCTTCCTGGAATCAATATTATCCAAATACATTCCCCCCTGCATTTATGTGTTTCTATATATTTATTTCCAATGGTGTGTAGATAGATGTAGATAATACATATTCCATCCCTACATAATCATATAATATATAATATTATATAAATAATATATATATATATGATTTATCTCCCATATATGTTCCATTCCCATGTCCTATTCCTATGCGTGCAACATCTCGCCATGAAGCGTCAGGGGATCGCCCTGCCTTCCCGGATTGTAGTGCCGGGCCATCGCCAGGCGGCTGTGAAACGGCAACGAGAGTGTCTACCACCATTTAAGTAGATGAATTTGCTTATTCAACATACAGCGTATATACAATACAATTATATATATATAGTATTATATATGATATATATATATATAATAAGTAATATTATAATATATATATAATTCTACATGCACCTGACAAGCACATGTATTTATATACTTATATGTTAGATACAATATACCAGATACCATGCTGAATTTACTGCAGGGCACTATTTGTTTTGGGCATAGGACCGTCTGAAACGAATCGATTAAACATTGATTGCTGAGCCCAGCAGCATAAGCAAGTCCAGTGCCGTGCCATGATTTTTGTTCATCAGACAAAGTAGTTTGATTCACTCAAACAAGCCTGCACCCTTTTGCAGAGTTCCATATCCCATTGATACGTATTTATTATTGTGGACCCTCCTCAATAAATGTTGGGGCGAATCAAAAATCTATTGAATCTATTGTACCATTTTTGGAGAATGAACACCCATAACTACAAACTATGTTGATGTTCACCAGGGGTAGAGGGTGTTGACACGGAACCACCAACAATCAGCACATGGGTTCGCCTGAAAATAGGGTATATACCCCAAATCTATAGTGGCTTGGTCAGATCACTTTCCCTGTAGAACCCTAAGGATCCAAACACTTCCGAGTAAAAGGTACTTGAAGTCCTAAATGATATCCCAAAATCCAAACACATCTTAAGAAGGCACTTGCATCCATGGGGAAAGATTGCCATATTGCTATTATACAGAGGTTGAGGTATATACCTATAATTTAAAGCCCAGCCGCTACTAGGCCTCATCCAAGCTGCGCGAGAGAAGGTGCCAGCATGGATTGTAGCGACCGGGTGTCATCCATGGCGGGCAAAGGGAAACCTCGTGGCCTAGCTATGGAGGTTTCGCTGGATGGATCATAGGATTGGGGGATATTGGGGGAACCGGCTTCCCATCCCTCAAAATGACCAGCCACATGTCAGGCTTGGCTGTTGCCTCCATGTGTTTTATGTTGGACGTGGGTCCAAATTCTCAACGCCTAAAATCGGGACCGGAGAGTATATCAGAAATATATCAATAAGACAACGGTCATTCATTGGCTAATGTCAATGTTCCCAAATAAACTTGGTTTTATACAATAAAGTATATACTAAATACTAATACACTACTTTGGCGGTCCCATTGGTGCCGTGACTTGACGCCAGAACCGCCAGGTAGAAGCTCGAAAAAGCCAAGAAGGGAATGAAACCTCTGAGAGGTCCAGTGAGTGACTAGAGGATGAGAACAGATGATTAGATCTGTACATTAAGAACGTGTGTTGTTTAAGTATCCAGGCTGGTGGATTGTAGATACTTCATATGATATATTTTTGTTTTTATACATGAAATCCACCAATATGCACCATGTTCGACCCACCTGAATCAGGAAATCCATCGCTTGAGGGTTTCACACACAAAGTCAGCATTGGAGCAGCCAGACGTGCTGCCACCGCACAACAAAATGGTGAGGAAGTCGTCTGTAGAAGCTCCATGATTGTTGTCCTCTTCGTTCCACCGTTCTGAACGTTGCTGTAAGGATATGCCTCTCGAGGCTCAAGGAATGTTAGAATTGGTATTGTTTACAATTGACGGTTTGCATTGACGGCTTGGTTATGTGATTCCATGGTCAGTGAAGGGTGCAAACATGTTGGAATAGTAGCGCAGCTTGTATTGCACATCATTGCACAAACATGTTCCAAGCCACTTGACAATGAAGTCTTAGAGGCCCCTTGCAAGTGCATCTCCTCGTGTAAGCAACACCTTTCCCGCTGTGGAAAAATACTTCCAATAAGCAGCACCCAAATCAACAGATCTAATTATAATTCTAATTCATTGTTTCTGGGTTGTGGTATTGCGAGGTCCTTCGTTACACGTTGGTCTAGAAACCCCCATCAACTATAGTTCTTATTACCATAACTCCAGTTGTACTAGTTATAAGCCCACTGAGCTACCTATGGGGCACGACCTTGTATTTTCATTTGAGAGAAGGGATTGGGACATGTTATGGACTTTCATTTTTTTGGGCTCACGCCGAAGCAGTGCAATCATTCCTTCATGACTATAAATCCACGAATGAGGATGACTCATATAAAATATAGCATGAAACCAACCATCGCATACTATTGAAAGACTCGGATTACTACTGGGTATGCCAGCCTTGGAATTTCAGCCTTTTGGGGAATAGATGTCATTAGATGGATTTGCTCTCTGATAATTCAATAGTTTACAATGGAAGCCATGGCCCACTCTAAGTACGATGGTTTGCCTACCATCTGGTTATTTAACATAGCCATGGAAAATCACCATTTTTCATAGGTAAACCATCTATTTCTATGGGCCATCTAGAATCTATACCATGGCTATGTTAGTCATAACCAGAGGGTACTAAAAATGGTGATTTTCCAGTTCGCAAACTGTTAGATGACCAGAGGTTACTATTGATCCAGCTACGCCGCAGGACTCAGCTCATCGATTATCAAAGCTGGAAATTGGCCGAATCTCATGAGAATTCACCATCTAAAATGATGGGTTATATTTATTAATTATATAAATATACATCTATAATTATTAGTGAGTATTATATATACGTGTATATATATATATAAATCTATAATCTGATATATATATATATATTGATTTATTTAACCAACAAATCAAAAGAGGATTGACTCACTCAACAAGTCAACACAGCGACTTCGGGATATTGATGGCTTGGGAGGTTTCGCTCCATGGCCCACCAGATGGTCGGCTGATTTTTGAGGGTAACCACACACCAGATCCTGTCCTGTCGTGGCTTTTGAAGAGTGGAATGTTCTACCAAAAAAAGGAACCTGTTCTGATCATTGATTTTTTTTTGTTATACACTCATCACATGGCAAGGTCCATCATTGTCCATGAACATACATTAATGAACCACCAAAAACTGATGAACCTAGAACCAACCTAGAATCATTGTCCATCCTTGGCCCTTCCATCCTTTTCCTCGAACCTGCCGTGGCGCGACCACCGTGGCGTGACTGCTTTTGGGCCATGGAGGAATCCGGCTGGCAGCGGAGGCCATTGTGGGGCGGCGTGGGCCATCCAGGCACTGAATAAACATGTCATTTACCTCTTGGTCCATGGCCAATGTTGGATATTAACCAGAACAAAAAATAAGAAAAATAATGATGAACTTTGGTAGTTTTAGGAAAGCCACATTTTTAGACGAACCAAAAAAAGGGAAATGCCAGCACCAGATGGGGGAAAGGTGACTTCATCTATGGGGTGGTTGAATAAATACAGTTCATCAACAGTTCAGCAAGGATGGTATGCGTTTTTTCTGGTATGTTTTCTTCATTCTGTGCCTCGAAGGCATGAGATTCCCCACTGAATTTGGAGTTGGATCAGTTGGATCTGGAATAATGTGATAAAATGAGTGTGTTTTAATTGTTGCTACTTTCGTGTCAGCGACATCATGATAGGCGGGAATTCTGGTTGATTGTTTTTCAAGCCATGTCCTTTTCCCACTGGTTGATTGATAGAATCTTCTCAAGACATGTAATAACCAATAGGTAGACTAAACACGTGTTTACATGTTTTACCACACCGACCTGCAACCATTTCCCTGAAAGAACTATTTATAAGAATGTATGGGTTTAGACCGCCAACATCTCTGGTTTTCATTGTCAGCATCCCTAGTTTTCCTTGAGTAAGTAGAGAGAGGACATTTTCCTACAACCATATCTGTATTGGTGAAAATTAGATACCCCTTTGAACTTGATGTTTGTATAAAAATAGAGTAAAATCTGTGGTCAGTCCAGTGGGCTTTTAATTTCTGACCCATTCCCATAGTGTTCCAACCAGCTTTGGCTCCAGCACAAGCTCCGTCCCCCGGTGTGCGCCGTGGTGCGCCGTGGCGCCGTGCTTCGCAGGGATTCCCATAGTGGGATCCCCAATAGCTGGATGGTTTATCATGGGAAATCCCATTAAGATGGATGATTTGGGGGTACCCCCATTTTTTGAAATCTCCGTATGATATATGTTATATATATAAATATATATAATATATATGTGTACTTCCGGTCTAGTCCCATCTGGGCAGTCCCAAGTTTCCCAAGGGGGTTCAGTACTAAAATGCTCATCCATGACTGGGATGATGTCGGGGTACCGAGGCCGGAGCTGATGGCCACTCGCCGGAAAGGCGTGAAACATGGCTTTGTTGAAACAACTGGGGGATGAAGCGATTCTGAAAAGTGTAATGTAGCATGAAGCGATTCTGTAAAGCTGTGCCTACTTTTCACTTTCTTCGCATGGTGTGAGATCCTTTGAACCCCACGCGAATCCCAAGGTTAGAAACATGTAAGATAATCTCTGCTCCCTAATACCAAAACACCTCCCCCCAAATGCTAAACACGGTGATCTGTTTTCATTATTAGACGGTATTTAGTATTAGGGTGCCCCTAATAATAAAACACAAACTTAATTTTAAAAAACAATTTCAAAATCAATTAAATCCCTTTGTTTAATATGTTTAGAATATTGCCAAGAATTGGATTTCGAATTTTCCCCTAAGAATGAAACAAAAACCTTACATAAAAAACGATTTCAAAATCAATTAAATTCCTTTCTAAAATCCCTTTAACATATTGCCAAAGATTGGATTTCGAAGCTTTCCCCTAATAATCAAATTAAAGCCTTTATTAAAAAAAGAAACATTATTTCAAAGTTGATGGGACCCTAATAATGAACTTACGGGTCTCGTTCTATTTTTGATAATACGGGGTACAAGCCAAAATTTCACCATCCTGTTCTCCTATTGATTTTCAATTTCCACAATTAAGAACGCAATTGTGAGCAACCAAACAGATCCGAAAGTGGCAATCCACTCCTATTTTTATTCATTGGGGGAGTTCTAGTAATAGGGAGAAGAGATTACTATAATATACTGTTATACTATAATATGATAGCCATGTTTACTTGAAACACATGTTTCATCATGTTTCAAAGCTACATAGCACTTACACAACATTTGGGATGAGCTGAGCTGTTTATCACACAGAGATTGGCATGGAGACGACTGCGATCAGATCACCATTCTGGTTCTGTTCACAATATTCAAAAACTGGGATTATAGTGGTATAACCATAGGAAAACCATAGGAAAACCATAGGAAAATGGAGGTTTACCCTCTGGTAAACGTTTACATAACAAACTGGAAAGAGTCACCATGCTATTAATGGGTAAATCAACTATTTCTATGGCCATGTTCAATAGCTATTTGTATGTTTACCAAAGGGTAAACAACAAGTTTGATTTGTTCGAACATGTTTGACATATTCTATTGACTGCAGGATGATTGTGAAATCCAATGATATCGGTGATTTTGAAAGTCAAACTGCTATGAGTTTGTTGGTCAAATCCACGAAAGAAACGGAACCCAGTCACACATAGTCAAAAACTATTGTTCTGTCTTCTTAAACCATGTTTAGTGAAGACAGTTTTTTTTGGTGAAGTTCCCATTAAAGTTGCTACGCCTGAGGGTTTCATCCTGGAGCAATTCTCATACCTTGGTGGATAAACCATGTTTTTGCTGATTAAATACGTGTGATTGATGCTTTAACCGAGTTTACCATTCCCTCGACCAACATGCTGACCCTGCCATGAGTTTTTTCATAGCAGTTGGAGGCTACTTTCCACTGAACATGGGCTTTTCACAAGGCGTTGATACATCACTCGGTTCCCATGTGCTGGGGATGGCAACTAATCTCAGACCTGGAGCGTAACATCCCGATAAAATTGCGACGCTTGGTCGGGGGTACCACAATGAATGATCATCGACGCTAGGTGAACAGAAGAGTGGTAAATAACCACATAAACACATCAACAACCATCATATCTCAATCATATCATATATATATATATTAATACACATATTATATATATATTATAGGTTTTATAGTTATATAGTTTTTTAATGGTGAAATCTCTATAAAAACCCTTCTAAAATGATGTGTTTTTTTCCATGGTTGTCCTACCAGGAGGCCGTTTTCGACCTGTCAGGGCCTCCCACGAAGCTCAGCAGCGACGCCAAGAAGGAACTCTCCGTGGTGGTCCCTTGGTATCTTGCAAGCTGCACCATGGATGGATCACCAAGGGATTTAGAGTTGCTTTCTGTTGGCCAAGTTCATTTGGAACCAGTGCTGTTGGGAATATGGTAATGAAATAGCTGAGCTGATAGCTGAGCTGTTAATGGCATGACACCAAACTAAGAGACATTTCACTGGGGAGCCCCACGTTGCGGAGAGAAAAAGATCTGGCAAAGCCATGAATGAATTCGTTGAGAAAACGATCTAAGTCTCGGTGTTTTTAAACCTCAACGCCTCAACGACGAAAAAAGTCGGGAAGACTTAAAATGACAGCCGGACATCCTCTCGGATCTAAATCCCACATGCTTTGGGGTTCACTTGGACCATGTCATGTTTCCCAACCATATCCAACTAATGTACCATAAAGTCCCATTGAATCCCCATCGAATAGTTGGTTGAATCCACCATATCCCATTATATGTATATATAATATATTAATATAAGCCATTTACATCTCTATGGCATCCCGGATACATACCTCGTGTTTGTTGGTAGGAAGCCCGTTTTCACCAATCCCAGTTGGTTCCCATGTAAAGTTGGAAACAGCCTTGATCCCCAGTAATTTCCATCAATCTTGGCGGTTGATTCCCATTTATCCCCGGTTGAAGTTCCCATGCAAGGGTCCTCAGTTATGTTTGTCTAGTTTATAAAGCCCAGAAAAACTACAGTCAAATTGCATCAAATTGCCATAAACCGTCGAAAATCAACTATAAATGTAATAAATGTAATAAATAATAAAGCCCATCAACTAAATGTAATCAATAAGCCAACTTAGCTACATGAATCAACTATAAATGTAATAAATGCCACAGTTTTCTTGGCTTTAACCGTATCCCCAAGGTGCCCACCTACAACGAGACAGAGAACCTGCGTCCACTGTGCGAGCGGCTCTTTGCAGCGTGCAAGGTGGGCATCATAGGGATATCATATGGATAAATGGAGATAACAGGAATAGAATGTGGATATAATTGCGGATAGTATCAAGCAGCCTTTGGAATATGTTGGAATAAGTTTGATATATATATATACAATAACATATATATATACATAGATATAGACATAGATATAGATCTAGATATCATATTGTTTAGGTAAAGAGATGGCATGCAATATGATATTATTTTCAGAACTTTAATATGGACACTAGTATGCCGTCCCCTCAACCGACACCCCAAGAATCACGAAGCGGCAAGGTGGACGTAGTCTTCCTCCTAAAACATGGCAGGGTCGATGGACGTTAGTTATGGCCTTTTATGGTTATTTGATTGGAATGATGATAAACCATTGGATGTTGAACATAAAATGTTATGGAATTTGGGGCTGTAAAGAGGATATGGTTCTTCGATCATGGGAATATCATGGGATAAGGTTACTGGATATTGTTGGGATCATATTTGACTGGTTGGTTGCCAGGAATTTATTGGAAAATAATTGAGAAGCAAGATATCTTGATATCTTATTCCTACCATGCTCTCATAACAAATAGGAATCTTGCCGAACAACTATCAGGATATTGCGTAGTCTAAACGCAAACCGCTTGTACTGTCCTGGTGAAGGTTTTTTTATGATCTGTAGATGTGGAAATCTGACCGGTTGGTTGCGTACGATTGAAGGGCGACCCCGTCTTCTTAAAGGAAAATGATGGTGACGTGTCAAACCTGCCTCTATGATTTTGTTCCTCAAAGGACATCGTTGCCATGTGTTTTATTTAGCTTTGGCCCTTGGAACATGTGCAAAGCCACAGTTATACCGTGTCCAATCAGCACTCGACTCAAGCCTGTCCATCAGTCACTGGAATCCGCGCCAATCCATCAACCTATCCCTAGGCCCGGCAAGTCTTGCGTGCCCGTTCCAGCATGTAGCAATCCCACTTCGACTTCGTCATTGGCCTGGTTGCCTGCCACAGCCTTTTATGTATGAAAATCAGTCTTTGGACTTGGACGAATCTGGGTGTGTACCCAGACACGTGACCGCTTGATGATCCATTTTACTTGGGATCTACGCCACTGACACGAGTGTAAATGATGTGCTTAGCTGGCAGCAACTAAGAAAAAACTCAGATGTTTGTCGCTTGTACACATTTTACACTGTAAATGTATTCTCTATTTCCTGACATGTGTCCCAATATGTTTGATTTTTCGGCCATAGTTCATAAGCAGTTCTGACCTCAAAGCACAGATTGTTGTTTTTTACTCATGATTTTATGTATCACCACATTGCTACTTGGAGACTAGGGCCGTTTAGGAACTGTTTTGAAAATGTGATTTGTCTCCCCAGATGCTAGAAATATAATTTCCTAATTATAGGAAATGGGCCCCCATTAGCCAAAAGTGGTTCCCCGCAGTTGTGAGTTTGCTTACGTTCACCGGTTCAACAGTAGATCAATATCCACCACAATTCCAAAAGACACTTATTATAAATCCAATGTCAATCCCCATGTTTAATGGAGATATAATAACCATGTTGAATGATCCTAGTTGTTCACTATTGTTAACAATTAAAACTACACGTTTTGACGTTTAAACGTTTAAATCCAAACTGTCATTGGTCAAATCACCACTATTGTTGGTTAAATCATTCAATCACCATGTTTTTCGGTTTAGGCTTGGGAGTCCAACATTATGCGGGGCTGCTCCAACCCATTGTATCTAAAACATAGCCATATTTTTGGGGAATCTTACATCTCTATCTACCCAGTTCCCCCCCAACCGCATCTGGGGTTAACAGGGAGAAACCCTGTTGTCGGTAAGTGGCTTGTAATCCCGCTGTTGTTGGTATTTGGAACCAGAGAAATAACGATATAATTCTGGCAATATCAGAATGCAATCAGGTCCTTGAGTCCTGAAAGGTTTAGCAATGGTTTAGATTTCTTGTATACCCTTGAGGAAGTGGCTTATAAACTGGTTATCATGTCATATCATGTCCAATATGTTTGCTCGTGAAATCGCCAAAAAGTAATGATGGAATCCCATTGTTTGATGAAGTCATATCGACCAATCCACGTTTTCAGCCAGTTCCAATGCTAAACAAATCATCCAAATCGCAGGCCGCCGGCCTCACCATCGAGTGTCGAGCCTCACCGGAGGGCATTTTGTGGGGAGTTTTCACCAGTCAAAATGTCACCAATGATTTCACCTGGAGAAATTCTGGGGATTTAAGGGATGGATTTCGCTATCATTTTTCCAGCTGATTTCAAACCACCAAGATTTCAAGATTTGGGAGTTCACTAAAAAATGAATCAGCAAAAAGAAGGCTAACGATGAAAACTGGATGTAGAATTATTATATATGTGTGATTTGTTTGCCCAGACACAGGGGATTCCCAAAATGATGGCGGTTATTAATTTGCTCTCGAATGGGAAAGAGAAGGCTGTGACACTCATTGATTGCCAGGTGCGATCCAAAACGGCATTTCCTGGTCCTTTTCCTGGTTCTTGTCGTTGGATTCTAGTGCCCTATGGCTTCAATCTGCCAAACGTATAAATCCCGAAAAGATAGACAAACAATTTACCACATTTTGTAGGATGTTAGGTTACTGTTCTATTCTCTTTTGGGGTTGCCATTAAAACAATGTGCGGTATCCAGGGTCTTGCTCAACGTGCGTTTCACGTGGTGGTGGGCAGCCAGTTGTCATCAAGAACACTAGACTTACAGTCTCATTTGTTGGTCTTAACATGGATAAATGTCAGGTGTATTGACCATCCCTGTTTTTTTAATACATCCATTGTTTAGATATAGGTCAGTGGTTAGTTAAGTGCCCATAGCCACTTGCATCTCCATGTTTTAATGTCAGGTGTATTCATCTCACCCTTTGTCGCTGGAGTATACAAGACAGCCACATGCATAAGAAAAAATCATGACCTCAGGCTGCAACTGGTAGCATCATGGTTCCCCTGGCTTGTCTAACGACCAGACAAACCTCAGCCTGGGTTGAGTCGTCTAGGTTAGTGGTGGTGGACGATGAAAGTGAAGGCAGTGAGGACTGCGATTTCGCTTGGGGATGATGCAAGGTAGGTTGATAGGTAGGTAGGCGACAGGTGATAGGTAGAAAGAGACATGCATAGCTAGTGTGGAATGTATGCAACTTATATATACAGATATGATATATGCATATACTGTTTGCATATTGCATTATTTTTTTTGTGCAACCATATGTCCGGACATCCAAACGGGGTTTCTTCAAACGGGTGACCCCCCAAATCATCAATCTAAGTTTGATTGGGTCACTTTTTTCAAATGGAATCTGATGTTTTTGTTGCTGGGAGGAAACTGAAAAGATCGCCAAGGCAAGCGCCGGAAATGGGGGGGCTTTTTGTCAAGCTTCAGCGCAACCTATCCCATGTTGACATGGCGTCCAATGGGTGATATATGATGAAGTAAGATCAGTGCACCATGGTTGGCCATAGATGGATGGTTTCCATCTGGAGATATCGCAAACAATGGCTGAATTGAAGGTTTATGGCAACTATGTGTAATGTTGGATGAAGTTGATCAACCAACTTATAAGTGGGACCCACCCTTGTACAGGTAAATGCGTTCTGTTTGACTAAGCTACCTATACATACCTATACTATTCTTGTAGCCAATTGAATGTCTCCATGATTCCGGTTGAAATCTAAGAGTTCCACCGGGGATTACAGTAGTCGACCACCTTGAAGCTCGTGGCGCTCAAGCGCTCCCTGTTGTGCTGGGAGTAACCCTAGAGATCTCCATCATGATAGGGGTTTTATTATGGTTTTACATCGAAATTTCCAAGTTCTTGGTTAGCAAGGTCTATTTGTGAAACTAGCTCCAACTGCACCCCAGAGCTTGTGTACAACCCCATCTAATTATACACATATCCGCATATGTATATATATATATTCCATCATACATCAATGATTCGCCTATGTTTGAACCCAACTGACCTAGCTATGGAAGATATCCCAACTTCTGGTCCTCCGAAGCAGCGACTCCGTGTTGAGGCCCTGGCCTCCGAAGGCTATGCGGTGCGCATCCATTGCCGAAAGAAGGCGGAGGCAACGATGGAGAGCACCGGTAAGTGGCGTACATCTGGGGTACATTGATCTTGTTTGATCTTGTTTGATCTTGTGTATGAATGATTATATTATATTATATTTATAAGAATTTTGATCTGAATTATGTTAGTATCGCTAGGGAGAGGACGTTTGCCCGAAACAGACAGAATTCCATGCGGAACGGTTGCTTCGGCGCATTTTTTTTGCAATTTGACAACGTGTAAAATATTGATAAAGACGCGAAACGAACCCTAAATACATGCTTTCAAAAAAAACCTAAACCAAACCTAAGTAAGCCCCGGAGGGGTATAATATATATATATACATATTATAGATCATGGAAATGAGGTAGATTCTTGTGAAATATGTTTCTACAAACACATCGAGATTTCCCACTATCCAGGTTAACCAGGATGAATCTTCCATGGTTTTTCGGTCCCTCTGCCCAGGGGCGCGGCCTGAGCAGCGCAGTTCTGTTTGGAGCCTGGCTTTGTGCGGAAAAGAAAAAAGGGACGGTTTTTTTTTTTTCAGTATGGTACTGTAATAAACCAATGGTGAAAAATACTTTAGCCATGCCATACTATTACCCAGATCATAAGTTACTACAGATTATAGATGTATTGGATGTGGAAAAGATGACGCGAACCACGAAAGAATAAAAACAACATGCCATGGTTTAATATAGTTTAACACAAACAAAATGCCATTATGATTTTATTTACAGGAGAGGGGCTTGTTGCCAGCGCCGGAAATTGGATTTTCCTCATGTTCCTGTATCTTTCGGACTTCGTTTAATACTTAATCTGGTTTTCACGGCCAAATTGCAATGCTAAAACCTGAAAAAAAACCTTTGAAATGGGAGACCGTGTCCTGGAATGTAGTGGCACATACCCCTTCCTCTTTTAATTTAGGCGACATCAGGATTATCAAAAGTTTGCATGTAACAACCTGGAAACTAACTTAGAACCTGCATGAAGCTGCAACAGTGAGTCTGGAAGATGTGTTTCCATTGGCGATAGAATGAACTTTTAGCAGTTGCTCTTGTAAAAGGCAATGTTGATTTGAGTGGAAACAAACCCGCTGGCAGGTCCCACATTTCGGGAAATCCCAAACCTTCTTCTTGGGATTTTTGGATGTCTAACACACACACATGTCACCAATCCTTGTTTGTGTGTGTTTGGAATAGCATTGGACTCCACCTCCAAAGCAAATCTTAGTGTTTGCTAAGTTGGTTTACTTTTACTTGGTGAACAACTGTTGGATTTATGGTGATGATAACACTAGCTAATCGGGAGGTTCCACGCTGCAGTGGAGCAGACCACTGAGCTGCTTCGTGAATTTGCCAGGCCAGGGCCGCTAGGGGGTTCAGGACTGAGCTCCAACGGCCGCCCAACCATCCCAGCCAGGCTGAACAGTGACGCCTTGTTGCAGGCTGAACAGCCAGAGGGTATGGCTGGCCAGATGGGAAGCTATGGAGACTTTGCCATGGAAGATGATCGTGGCCCGCCGTGGATGAGGTCCAGGCATCTATTCCCAGCGGAAGGAGAACAGTGAAGCCGAATTCGTGCGCAGCATTGCGCAGCTGTACGTTTGTGAAGTGGGTCAATGGATGAATGAGGCTATTTCATGCTATTACCTAATTCCTTTTCAAGGAATTAGAGACCAACATAGCCCACAGAAGAAACACCACATTCTTGAGGACCCACAAAACATCACCCCTAGCAGGGTCACCCCAGGGCCGCTTGGATTGCGCAGCCAAGGCTAGGTTTCGGAATGGCAAAATATGCTACCCTGCTGTGTCCGGACCTAAGATCGACTGACCTCTTTAAACACCTTCTCATGTCCACCCATATGACCGCTAAAGCAGAAAAAAACAGGTATGTTATGCGTTCGGTTTCAGAAATGGGTTGGATTCAGGAATCACTCTTAATCTGGTTGGTGGTTTGGAACATGTTTTATTTTTCCCATCATATTGGGAATTTCATCATCCCAACTGACTTTAACTCACCAACCATCATTTTTCAGAGGGGTAGGTATACCACAAACCAGTCATCCACTGGTGAATCCATGATTTCCCGGGGCATCTCCGATGTTCAGAGACACCTCAGCAACCTCTGCAACTAGGCATGGATGCGGATCTGCAACATGAACCCGAGAGTGTCCCAGACGTGGCCAAACCTGTCCTTGAAGGCAGGGATGGGTCAGCCATTTGACATGGTTTTGTTCGTGAGAGTCTCTTGATTTTAAGCCCTAATATGAGACGCTGCTTTGTAAACCCTGATCCTGACTTAGAACTGGATCTTTTTTTTTGTTGTTGGTCCATTTTGTTGGAGTGGCATTTAAGAGTACATTGGTGATATCTCTCCATGTAAGCATGATTTGACCACTGTAACCACCTCCAATAACGAAAGTTACGGTCCATGTCCTATGAATAAAACAGTTGATCTGGGTATGTGGATTGTTGACTGAATATATTGGGATACCTGCAGAGTACTGGATTGATATAAATCGATTTGGCTCTTGGATGCTACCGTTGACGTGACCAAGAAGGCTGATACTGGAGTGACTTTGCTGAAATCTCCACCTTTGCTGGTAGAATCCCTGTATGTTGTCCTTTGACTTGATTGAATGCCATTGTGTATGGCATGAACAGCCGCTTGAATGCATTCTTTTCTCGATTCAATGCCACTGAAATATATGTATATGTGTAGAACTGTAGAACTTACATGCCACTGCAACCTCAAATAATAAATGTCCATCAACATGTCAAAAAAACACAAAAACAAAGAATATCAACATGTATCACTGGTTGGTGCTTTGGAACATTTATTTTTCCATATATTGGGATGTCATCCTTCCCATTGACTCATATTTTTCAGAGGGGTAGGTCAGCCACATGCCAGTGGAAATCCCACCGGTTCCGCGGAGTTTTATTCCCCAGGTTCCGCGGAGTTCGCCATTGGCTCGCGACACGTGGAGGGCGGTGGAGTGGGGAGCCGAGATCCGAAAAATCCATGGGATGGTGGGTCAAACATAAATTGTAGGGATATGAATATATTGGGGATCTAGTGAATATCATGGAATTCCATTATAATTATATATATATATATATATTATACATGCTACTAAACCATGAATCGTACCCTGCAACCCATCTGGGATTTACCAAAAGTGGGGATTAGCCGGCAAAAAACGGAGTTTAACCAACAAACATGGACTTTCAAAACGCGACAATGCGGACGTTCTAGGGTTTCAACCAATCATGTCTGTGTGGGATTTCCGATTTCCCAACCATCAATGGGAAAAGAATCTGGGATGGATTTATATAGCCTCTGGTAAATTAACCTAACCATGGAAAGATCCACCATTTTCAATGGCTAAATCCACGAACTTTCTATGGCAATTTTCCAGTTCGCTATGTAACAAATTACCAGAGGGTGACCAACAAGAAGGTGGTTACGATCTAGTGGGGAGAGGCGACCAACAAATTATGACGGGCACCCATTTTTGTTGTGCATCGGATAGATGCGAAGATTTGCCCAACACATGACCAGGTATGTAGTATATTATATATATAGGGTGAGGCTGCCACGTATGTGTAATATATAGTCATCCTGAAGTAGAGAGAATACGGTGTTTGGAAAAAACACATCCCATTTTAGTGAGGTTTTGACATGTTCATATTCTATTTACTCTACTCCAGGATGATTATGCACATGTATATATATACATATATATATATACCTAGACCGCCTAGACCCTCCAAATACCCCAAAAAATATATTAAAAGTAATAACATGATGGGATAAGAGACCATGTAACAATGTATATAGACTATATACTCTAGTTATGACATAGTACATACATAGTACATACAGTCATGATATTTTTTTTTACATATTATACATATACATATACATATACATATACATATACATATACAAATAATACATACATACATATATAATCATATGTATATTATATATAACATTTGTATAACATATATATATATAACATAGATGGACCATTCGTGACGTTCACCCCTCAGTTGGGCTTCGAATGGTCCATGCTTCGAAGAGCTGGGAATCTCAGTTCGCCGAGGCGATGCGCAATGCCTGTGCCAAGGTCAGTTGAAATATATTGTTTTGACATGTTATATAAGGTTCAATGGATTGGTTTAAGGGAAAATTTACAGGAAAACCCCATATTTAATGGGAAAATCTATGGTTTCCTGTAGATTTTCCCTTAGACCAATCCATTGAAAGGTCACTTTTTTATGACATGTTATTTATGACATGTTATAGTATGAACTATTATTCCTTATGTATAATTTTCCTGATATGTAATATATTCGGCACATTAGGTGTTGCATAGTTTTCCATAGTTTTAGGACTATTCAGTAAGATTCACATTATTACCCCCTCGTTATTCAACATAGCCATGGTATTGATGGCCCATGAAAATAGATGGTAAACACCGTTCTTAAAAATTGTAGATCTTTCCAGTTTGCAAACTGTTAAATGGCCCATTTATAGATGGTTTACCTATTAAAAATTGGGATTTTCCATGGCTATGTTAGTCATAACCAGTTGGTAACAGAGATAGTGTATGGGATATTTGGGATGCAACTCTCTACGCACAGTTGGATATTTTATCAGGCCATCAGGAGATCGGCTAGGAGATCGGCATATCTCCATGAAGTACGATGGGTTAGGATATCCTTTATAAGGAAGTCCCATTATGGGATGGATGAACATACCCATATAGCCTGTTTTGATCATGACATATATATATATATATGTATACATATATATATATATACAGACATCGAGAAAAATACATCGATATAGGTATAGATGTGCTTTACCACTCCGGCAGAGGCCAAATGATTGTTGGTGGTAGCCCCCATCTTGGGTAATTCTATCTCGTGTTTAACTACACATGTCACATGATGGAAGCCTTGATAAAGCCAGGGTAACTAGCCCCAAAGTGAAGTTCATGTACTCTCTGGTAATCTGGCTGGAAACCTTCCATGTTCAATTGGTTCATCTTGAAACTTGGTGACTTACAGTGCTTCAGCATGTTCTTTTCCCACTAAACTACCTTTTTTGCTGGTCCCTCTGGGGTCCTTTATTCGACTTTGTCCATCGCCATGTTGGCCTCATCCCCTAGGTGGTCAGCAGCGGCGCAAAGATGTTAGCCTGGTTCCTCGCACCCTCTACAGATCCTCTCAGCGGTGCGGCGGGGATGATGACCCGGGGATGATGCAGTGGTGATGGCATTCAGCAGGGATCACAGAATGGCTGAATTGATATAATGATGTGATAGGATCCGAGATAATAGGATCATCCTATTCCAGTGATGATGTGATAGGATGAGAATCCGATATAACATGATATAGGTCCTTGCTGGATTGAATCAGAAATGATGGAATTCCCTGTCTTGAGATCTTGAGTGATTCAGAGTTCGCTTAAAGCTATGAAAAGAGCTCTATCCAGACAGGGGTGACATGGCTGGATACCAAGTTCATATACATATCCAAAGTGAGCTTCAGAGTTTTGCTACGTATTTGAGCCAGAATCAGGCCTTCTATGCTCTTATATTAGTTAGTATAAGTGTCTATTAGTTCCATGCACATCACGTCTACACAATTCACCCATCATTTAGACCTGTACCCAAGATGTTCAAATGTCCAGCACTTGCACTGAGAATGGACTGGTCGTCAGGCTTCTTCTGTGTCAGTAAGGAGGTCTTGAAGCGTGGCGAGGCGCCGCCAATTTTCTGAATCTGAAATAGCCAGTCTCAATGTTATCCAGAGTTTTGGCCATTTACCAGTTATAACTGGTTATTTCTATGGGATTATACATTCTATAAATGGGGTTTTGTTAGTACTTATAACTTATAAGTGATAAATAAGCATAACTGCAGATTTGCAGAGAAGATTGGGAATCAATCAATAGGGGCATGGAAACAACTTGGCATTGAACCAACAGGTGGGATAAAAAAAACAACAACAAATTGAACCATGATTCGATGAATGATGTGAATCGGATATTGGGCGTATACCCCCAAAAATTGCTGTCGAAATGAAACCATTATGATCAACCTGTGGATTTGGGTTGATACAAAGTTTGAACATGCTAAATGATTGAACCTAAAATCGAATGGTTTGAGACCTGAACAGCTCCGTTCTCATCTGTTTGAGCCTACATGGAGCACTGCCAAAGACAGCCGAACAGCTCGTATTTTGGCAAGGTTTGGAATGCTCATTTTCTGGTATACCTGAAGAACAAATTAATACTGGATGTGATCAGCAGCAAATGTAGGGCAGATCTAGGAATTGAAAATCTTTCTGAAATTTAACCATGTCACAGAATTTTGCTTTGCCTCTCAGGTTCGTGAGTCATGCGCAATTTAGCCAAAAGCATGTCTTTTGTTCCCGTTGCAGAGGTAAGATCGTACATGCGATATGATATTCTCAAATTACGCAGTGAAATGTGATATTCACGTAAATTATCCTTAAGTGAAATGTGGACATCTTGGACATCTTCAAAACGATCATAGAAATGCAGTGTTAATGATGCATTTTGGTGCATTTTTCTGTAATGAACCATCCCAAAATGGGTGCCAAAAACCATGCCATGTTTCCCAACCTCCACCATCAAGCTCTGTGACTTCAGCATACTTCTTGATCAAATCCCCTGGCCATAAAATAGCGGTATATAGCGGTGTTTTCTTTTAGATTCACATATATATATATAATATACATATTAATATATAATTGTATAGATATACATTATTGTACATAATATTTTATGTGTATACAATGATAGAAAATCGTCACATTTCCAGTTGATTTAGTCTTCAAAAGTGGTGATGTTTGGTCGCTTGCTAGCTTAAGGTTTTACGGCGAGCAGAGGCGAAATTCGGAATTGTCATGCTTGCGTTCCCGGCAGGGGAAGCTGAACCCCATCGGCTTCAAGATCGCCCTAGAAGTCATGGCTGCTTGACATCTGGCGGGAAGAAGTCTCTAAGGGAGATCAGATCAATGGGAATTCCAGGATCCTAAAATGGAGGTACTGTACCATTTTTCAGGCCATATTTTGGGGGTATATCATATCCCCTGACATAGCCAATACATAGGCCTTATATATGGTAGGTACCTCCAATTGGGTTCCTGGAGCCATTGATCAGAGTCCTTCGACCCAGGGTAAAAGCAAAGGTGGATGGGAAACCATCTTAGAGTACAGCCTGGGCAGCCTCTCCATGACATCGCTAACGTGACGATTTCGGATCATGACCATGATTTAGGCATGGTCCAGCATGGTTGTTACCACAATGAGTTGGGATGTAATATACGAAAACGGTTATATGCCCACTTATCAAATTAAGTCTCCACCCTCAAGTTGGAGACTTGAACATGTTTCGCACGACCGGCCCAAGATGCTGAAAAGGTCATTTGATTCGTCCACTAAATCATGATGTTTTGACCATCGCTGCAGGCGGCTTTCATACTGTGCTTCTCCGAAGCGTTCTGCCTGTACCCAGGCTGCCGGTGTCAGACTGTGCTCCTGAGGAGTGATGGCAATGCGATCGCTTGCGGAAGCAATCAGGATGGACAATGTGATATTCCATTTTTGGAGGATGAAGAGATGGTTTACCTCTAAATTTCTGGCTTGAAGCAGATGGCTGGAGATCTAAAATGTGCTCCTGAGGAGTGATGGCTGTGTTGTTGCCGGAGATAACGTCTTTGGACGGTGCGAAAATCCACGATGAACGGAGGAAGGAATGTCATACACCCAGGTTGCTGCAGGCGATAATCATACAGTGCTTCTTCGAAGTGTTGGCAGAGCTGTTGTTTGTGCAATGAAGATGGACAATGTGATATTCCCCCATTGAGACCTGGTGTGTCATATCAGGTCTCAGGCGGCACACCAGGTGCTTCTGGCCACGTGCTGTTCTATGGGGGATGGATCAGGGCACCATTCCTGCGGGCAATGACTATATTTCCAATGCTGGGCTGAGGCCACTCGGTATGGATCGTGTCTTGCAAATTAATCTTCGGTCCCAATCGGATGCAACGAGCGTCATCTTCAAATGCACAGATTTGAACGCGCAGGAGGTGTTTCAGTTGATCTCAGATGGATCTGAAATGGTTTTTGATCTTCTCAAGCGTATGGCGCGTGAATTGAATGCCAACCTTCACAGTCTCCATTTCTGAAGTGGGATGGCAGATGGCAGCTCCGGAGCGTATAGGTTTAATTGTGTAGCTCTCATTGGTTTGGTTGTTGGTCAGTTTGGTCTCATTGACTGCACATGTACATTGTATTGTATATGCCTACAATGCGCCCCAAATATTCAAATGAAATGATTTGAATTGCATTGATATGTTTTGAGATGATATTTTTTGTCAGTGAGAGACCATAGACTCTGCCTGGCAGGTGCCAAAGAGCCCTTTTGAAGTCTCACTAGGAGACCCCCAGGCAATGTGTACGAATTTCGCGGGAGGATGCCATACTACGGTGGGTCCCACTTCGGCTAGGCGCGTTAAAAAGCGTAACAGTTCCTAGGCAGTGGGAAAAGGGTTTTGTTTGAAAGGTAATGAACCCAAGAATTGGGGATGGATTTTGACCCGACAGAGAGTGAGCTAGACCTTCAAAAAACATTGTAGGAAGTCTAAAACTCGTGATTTCAAACATCTTCCAACTATTTAATCCAGATCTTTCCGGTTCTATGCCAAACAATTCTTACCAAAGACTTTTTCAAGCAGAAAAGGCTCATGTTTGCTTGACATCCCCATCCCAAAAACCCTCAGAACTAAGATGAGACCCCCAAAAATATGCTTTGCAAGATGATTTGCCAATATTTGCCATGGATTGTTCCCATAAAAAATGGATTGTTCCCATCGTTTCTTGCCATTGGGCGGTTTCAGAGTCTCACCACGGATCCGAGGTGCGATGTCGGTGTAAACCCATCCAGGACGTAGGAATCCAGTTTCAGGCGCCGGAGTGAAATGGGTATCCTTGGGTGCTTCAAACCATGCTGGGAATGTTTCAACGTTTCAACCCCCCAAAAAAGGGGTGGGATATGGGGACCCCCCCCAAAAGAAAACCTATAACTATGGTGAACTCTATCCACTGAAAACTCACTGGAACTGCACTTCCAATATCCTCAAACGGCAACTTGAACGGGGAAAATGATGCTAAATGTTGATGAAAGATCACATCTTGGTGGTAGCTTACGGGAACTATCACTTCTGGTTGATGCTGTTGTCAATCCCAGATGCTCCATGTATGGAATATTTACCTACATTTGGTTGATTTTGGGGGTAAATGTTGGTAAATATTCCATACATTGAGCATATGGGAATGGGGGCCCATGTGATTATAACGACCCTCCAGTTGACCAACGTGGCTATGGAAATCCATGGTGACAAATCCCGTCCGGAAATGATCTAGGTTCATGGTGGAGTTTCCATATGCTTACTGGAGGGTAGTCTTGAAGACCAAGGGAAATATATAATTATATATATAATATAATATATATATATATTATATCTATATAATATAGTAAATTATATATGGAAAAAGAAAAACATATGTTAAACCCAAGAATGATTCTCCAATTAGGAATGGTTTAACTACACCAGTTTTCTGGTAGATTTGTGGTTTCGTATTCGGTTTACATGAATGTTGACCTGGGGCTGGTGCTGAAGGAATCACCAAATGAAGATCCGGTGTCATCAGCTAGCTGAGAAATCTCCGTGGCCTAAATGGAGGTTTATAGCTTGGAAAAGTATCCTCTGGTTATGTCAAACAGTTTGCTATTGAAAATGACCATAGAAATAGTAGATTTACCCATTGAAAATGGTGAAATGACTATATTATTTGCTGGTTGGTGGTTTCAAACATTTTTTATTTTCCATAATATGGGATGTCATCCTTCCCATTGACGAACTCAGATTTTTCAAGATGGTTATTGCACCACCAGCCAGTTTTATTGTGCACAGTTTTGGGGTGACGGCTCTTCTTCTCTGCGCTGGATGCACCAGGAGAGGAATGCTGGCGAAAGCAAGCTCTCCGCAAATCAGTACAAGCCCCTTGAACTGCGGGATGCGCCAATGGGGATGCGAAAAATTGCATGTGATGCTTGCTGGGGGGAGTGAATGCGAAATCATGGATTACTGACAATACTTGCGGATTTGTTAGTTGGACCACCAGGTCACCAGACACTGTTACAAACAATGCCTGGTATGTTTGGCGAATCAACATCTAGCACAAGGTGGTGCCCCGTGCATTAGCTCATTTATTTGCCAATTTTGCTAGGTATATCTTTAGATCTACATATTTAATCATATTTACATCTATAGTTTATATTATATTTTGGTTTATAAATCAACAAACATAACCTGGGGGTGCAGCACCTGCTACTGGCGGCAGCTGCGTGCCCCCAGGGCTAACGATTGCTGATTCTTCGGACCACTATAGTTGATGATGAACGATTGATAGATGTTAATACTGGTTAGTAGTGATTAGTAGTGATTAATAGATATTGATATTAGTAGTGATGTTACCCTGTTAGATAAAATTCAATTCTATATAGTTATTGATTAACTACACTGTAAGACGATTGATAGATGTGAAAATAGTGGTTGGGAGTGCTGAATTCATCGGTGATTTTTCCGGAGTTAGCCTGGCTGGTGTCATTAAACATACCTCGCTGGGATATCCCTGATGAAAATAGGTATGTTTTGTCACAAGAGGTTGTCCTTAAAAAATTGGGTACCCCATTCCATCCACTTGTATGGGAGATAATAACCTGTTAATCATAACCACTTGTTTATCATTCCAATTGGGGTATCATAACCTTATCATCATTGTGTTTCCTATTTGGAGGTTTCTTAAAATAGAGGGTACCCCGTGCCATCATCCAGTTATAGATGGGATTTTCCATTAACTGTCCTGCTATTGGGGTACCCCCACTGATGGACCCCCTTTGCCAAGTTGGAGTATCCCCGGTTTTTTTGGGAGGACCATGTTGGATCAGAATGTGTTCGCAACAGTTGGATGTGGCTGTTTCGCGAAAGAAACCGATATTCATTCCAAACCATTAGTTTCACCAAAACTGAACCGTTTTGGAGACCTTTCCGATGTGCTGAAAAGTATTGTTGACCACAGGGTGGCTCAGACAACGCATCGAAGTGGTTACCCAAAAAGTCCAATGCCTTTGGCCAACCAAATGACCAAATGCCGTTTGAAGGTGTCTGGTTTGAACTAGTATCCGGCCCTGGGGCGTTCTTAATGGCTGAGGCTAGCCCAATTGCTGGATGGTTTATAGTATGTATCATGGATCCCATCCATGGATGATGACTGGGGTACCATGACTTCCTAACCCTCCTGGGATGTGACGATGCGTCACCCAGGTTATACCTGGAGCAACTCTTTAGTTTGTGCCATCGACGACAGAAAGTTGGTGAATCTGAATTGGGGGTGGAGACAATTTATTGGAATAGGATTTGAATGGCATTCGATTCACCATCATACTTCACTAATTTGGGTTAACCCATTTGAATCCATTTGATGTGTTTTTCGAGTGGAGTCAGTTGGGGTAGCTTAACCCACTAATTCGGGGTCGTCATGAAGCTGCTGGATTCCCAGCTAATGGGATGGACGATAATTATTCGGAAACGATCCACACATAAGCCTTAAAAGGAGTAAGGAAGAGACGTACATACGCATAGTTCATATACCCTCTGGTTATTTAACATAGCCATGGAAAATTGCCCATTTATAGATGATTCTCCCATTGAAACCTCCATTTATTTTGGGGATTTTTCATTGCTATGTTAGTCACAATCAGATGGTAATCCATATAATTCATATACGGAGAATGAAAAGAAATGCCACTTGATCCCCAAAGTGCTGGTGCGGTTGCTCAAAGTTGACAAGACCTGTATACGCAATGAGATCGTGACATCGGTTTCAATGAATGTTCAATGAATGATTTGGTGTTTGTCTAAAGATGAAGCATTCACCTCTAATTTATATTACATTAACATTATGGCATTTTGTCTTGAGGAAATGATGATTTGTCCATAGGTTATCTCCCTTGGGCGAAGTTCAGCTTGGATCAAGACAGCTGTACAGCTGTATATGGAGGACTTTGTATTGTGACATGTTACATAATTTTGTGATGAATAATATGATGTTAGCAATACTTGGTTCTGTGCAACAAGCATTTGCAGACCATACAATATCAAGTTTCAATCTATTGAGCCAACAGGTCAATGAAGCTGCCATTAATTAACCTGCCATGAGAAGTTGTTTCCCACCAGCCGAATCGCCATTGTTGCGCCAATTTTGAAACAAGCAGAGCTGGTTTGATATTAGTTCGATCTACCCAGAAAACCAGTTGAAACACTGGAATATACATATACATATACATACATAAACAATGATATATACAAAGATTGAAATCGTATAAATGAGTCCACACATGTGATTATGATGAGATATATAGTTATTGACAATCAAATGACGTGAAAGCAATTCATATTTACTAAAAAAATCATGGTCGATATAATTATATATGTTACATATGTATGAACCATATGAAATCCATAACATGTAATATGTACATACATGAACTTACATGTACATACTACATACATGAACCATATGAAAGACCATCATTTTTCCATCACCCCATCTTTCAATCCACTAGGGCGAAAAAGCCCGCTTTTTTCTTTCGAAACGGAGCGGAGGTACATGGCCACTTATGGCCCTCTGATCGTGTTGCTGGTGATCCTCATTTTGCTCCTGCTGTCGGCCAATCCCAGACGTGGTGGGCACATGAGCCCAAAATGGTGGTGGATTTTAGTGTTAGGACTAGTGATTAATGGTTCGAACTGCTTAATAATGGTTAATACTTGTTATTAATGATGATGAATGGTTGTTAATAAAGTTAACCTCCGGCAGGGAAATCCCTTATAAATGGAACTTTTCCTGGGAAAATCATCAATGGTGGATTAATCATTAGATGGAGTAAATGCCAGGGTACCCCTTTGATATTGAACAAAGCCTAGAAACCAATAGAAACCATGGTTCAGTAGGGGATGAAACCACATGGTGCTTACTATTGGAGAGATGGGATTGTAGAACTGTATTTACCCATTGATGGGGTGATACATGGCCATCAAGATGAGGGTCCATAATCGCCAAAACCAACCAAAAAACATTTCGGATTGATTTGTTCGCTTGTTTTTTTTACTTGCAGTAGATTTCTCATGATTTATCACTATTTTAGGATTGGACTTTACTTTTTTGCATCTTTTTTGGACGGGCAGCCCACTTGGGGCGCTTGTCATCTTTGGTTCATCGATGTTGAGTAAATACGGTTGTATTTTATGTTTTATATATATCCCAACTAAAAAGTTGTTTGCATCCCTAGTTTCATCATATGTTTGCTGGATTTACGCATTAAACATTCTCCCAGAGCGGATCCCATTGCTTTGCTGGTTGTCGAATTTCCCGAGGTACATGGCTTTGACGAGTTTATTGTTGTGACCTCAGGGACTTGGGGCTTAAGCCATGTTGGGTGTGAGCTTTGGTACTTTTGGAGCACTTGATGGTGGGGTAAGCATCCAAAGGAAGGTTCAATGGGTTGAATGTGTGTGTATTTTTTTCGGGTTGAACTACCAAGCAGGAAACGCTACACTTCCAATTCACCACAAAAGTACTTAAGCTGGCATAAACATAGATGGATTGTTCCTGATTCTAATTATCAACCCATCAGATTCCGCATATCTGAGCAGCCAGGTGAACTGCAACGCCTTTGGAATTTATTTTTTGTTTTTTGTGTTTATTTGGGTTTGGTTTGGGTTTGGAAACGGTGTATACCCCCCAATCATGGTACTTTTATGTTTGGGAACATGATGATTAATGATTAATCAATGGATTTAGAGGGACCCTATTTTCAGACAAACCCTTTTGTGCTGCTATTTTCATGCTGGGTTCTCAGCATAGATAGACATTCACATATTGTTTCTTCAGGGCTCAAAATGGAGAGCAAAGACCCAAACAGGATGGTAAGAAACATGTTCTCTTCTCAAACCATGGCTTAAGTCTTGTTAAACGACACTTAAAAATCTTAAACACATCTCTTAAAATTGTTTATGACACTTAAATTTAAGTCTTGTTATGACATCTTAAACATCTTAAACACATCTAACTTACCGCAAAGAAAGATCATTCGTAAAGATGTTCGTAAAGATGTTCCATGATGTTCCCCCAAAATCCCACAGACCTAGGCCGACGCCGAGAAAGCTCACGGGCTGACGTCGAACGTCGGTGCTGCGTCGGTAGCGATGGCCAGAGGGTCCAAGTCGCGTCGATTGTCGCGTCGCTTCTCCGCGAGCCATGACCAGCATGACCAGCCCTGCCAGGTTGGAGCGATGTTCAAACTGGATTTCCACCTAACATTTCCCAGTTACTGTGGTTTCCCAGTTACTTTAACCTATTATAAACCACAGTAACTGGAAAATGTTAGGAACAGCTGAGGTTTCAATCGTAAAGTTTCTGATCATCCAGGTTTGGGAGCTGCTGAACCGAAGGGTAATGATTCTGGATTCCAGGATAGACCATGATAAGTGTAGATCATGTTACCTTGGTGAGAGAACCGAATTCATGTCATGAGTTTCTATGTGTTTTAAGCGTTGTTTGATGTTTGTTTGCAATATTTAAGGATGGCTTGTAAGGGTGTCATGGTGACCTGTCGAAAATTCTCCTGAAAACAGAATGGATGAGCCATAGCCACATCACGGTCACCATGATGGCTAGATCACCCACATCAACAACGATGTAAACGACACATGTGAGATATGTCGCATTTTCAGCTGCATTTGGGTGATAGGGATGCATGACCGATGCGCCTGGATTTTTGACGAATTTGGTGTTCCCACGTGATCCCTCCCGAAGGAATTTCCTGAAAATGATGCCAAATAAGTGTTGTTAGACTTGGACTCTTTGGGTAGAGTGTTGAGTTTGTCTCGAAACAGGGCCTTCCAGAACCATGTCGTCCTCAATGTTGTTTCTTCACCAACCCCGTTCATCCTAATTATGGTGCCATTCTCGAGACAAACGCAACTCGTCGGTGCAGAAAAAAACAGATACAAAGACGGCGGTGCCGCCGTCTTTGTTTAGATGGAGAGAAAGAGGTGTGGTCTTGGACACGGATGCCCCCAAGGGAGAGGTGATGCATACTTAAAGAAAAATGATGAGGTTAGAAGGAGTCTAGTTATACAATTTAGCAATGGGGCTGTGTTGGTAGAAACATGTAGAAACCACTTTTGTGTCGAATGTCAGAACAAGAAATGTAAACTTGAACATGTTCTTCCCGATATGGTTGTGTGTGCGCCCCGTCAGGTAAGCTAATCTAGCAATGTAGACTCCTCCATTTAAAGGATTGTACCAATCATGCCCCAGAAATTTCAAGATTTCCCGTTGCTGGATTCGTAGAAGGTACAAGTGGATGCCCCCCAGCTACACACTGGTTTATAAGCCTAGTTAAGTGTATCAATACAAATCAACCCTAGTTATCCTAGCCATAAACCAACTTAGCCAACTATGGGGCACAAACATCGAACATAATTACAAGTTGTGATGCATATCTTTAACAGTTTGCTATGGCAGCTATGACCAGCGCGTTTTGTTCGGTGAGGCAGTGAGGAATCGAACTCAATGGGCCCGCCTAGCAAATATTCAATGATTTAATGGATTGATTTACGGTGAAAAAACAATCCCTTAAACCAATCATCCATGGAATCCATGGACATTTGCCATGGAAAATGATAAATCTCCGTTTCTGGGTGAATCATCTATAGATGGGCCATGTTCCTCCATTGGTCCATAGCTAGTTTACTGGTATCCCAGTCCATTCCCGTTCGCAGTCGGCGGTTTCTCATAGGCTCCTGATGCAGCTGTGCGCACCGCCCATTCCCAAGCTTCGACTGGAAGCTAGGCCAGCCTGAAGGGTTGGACGGTAAAAAACATGCAAAAAATGGGGGATCAACATGGATTCACTGCAAACTTAGGGAGTTTAGCCACGAAAAATGGAGCTTGACATGGATGAACTATCTGAGTATAAATAGCTAGTTTTATGTGCAGCAGGAATAATCCAGAAATATGGAATTTCACCAGCCCATGCTTGTGGATGTAATCATAGCCGTCAAAAACCGGGGATTTGACTAATCAATAAGTAACTGTGTCTGGTTCAAGGGATAGAATTCTAGCTGTATTGAATGGGTTGGTTTTGCTGCAGGAAAGTCCATGGTTTTGACCTCAAAAATGCCTGCCATAAAGCCAGGGGGAAATAGTTCATGTACTACAACGATATCTAGTTGGTGGTTTGGAACATGCATGTAATTTTTCCATATATTGGGAATAATCATCCCAACTGACTTTCATATTTTTCAGAGGGGTTGAAACCACCAACCAGATATGCTTAATTAATCAAATGGAGACTAAAGCAGCAAAACATGGCGGGGTTCACCATGATATGGGGATGAGGCAGCAAATTGGTTTCCAACTTGCTGAAACCTGACATGAACATCCCATGGTGTTTGTTGAAGAATCCTGTGCCGCATTCCATCCACTGGTTGATCATGATGTTCCCCATGAACGAGGAATTGGTCATGGAGAGCATACACATTAAACTGGGTAAAATTGATCCATATTTTCTCATTAATTATCATCATGGTTAACATAGTCATGGATCGCAGTGCTTCAGAACTGAGACAGCAGTTCTGCGATATGCCCAGGACGCCCTGGATTCTGCAGCAGTTGTCCCTGCTGGGGAAGCAGGCGCCGATGTTTTTCGGAGCTTGGAGCTTGGAGCCAAGGGGCGGGGAAAAGTTGAAGCACCAAAACAAGTTTGTTTTTTGTTTGCTTCGGAAGATCGAGTTGACTTCTAAACATGGTTTATCCATGTGATTCAGCCTCAATCGCGGTGATTTAACCAACAAGTTGATTTTTTTTAAAGTCGCAATCAGGACATGGCACAAAAATATGACGCATTCCCCGTAAATGATGCTGCGACATGATCAATCCTGCTACTGTAGGGATCGTGTTTTTAACACCCATCGAACTGGTCATCCAAAAGAACATGTGTTGTTTTTGTCCCAGAACAGGGCTATGGATACACATGTTTAGCATCCGATCATCAAACATGGCACTGGACGTTTGACAATTTATAGATGTTGACTCAACAACAGATATAGATACATATAGGTCACTGCACCAGGTTAGATTATTTGACGCCGGAGAGGACAGTATTTTGAATGTATGTTTAAATGATACAGGTTCAAAGCATGGACATGGCAACCTTGAACCTATTTTTGAAGCTATTCCATTTGTATATTGAAAATAAACATGTTTCAGTTGTTTTTTTCTTTTAAAATCTGCATTTGATACCCATTTCTGAAGCTATTTCTGAACATATGGTGTCCAAGGAAAAGTTTCATGATACGTGGTAGCTACGGGCGCCAGGCATGGCTGTGTTTCTTCCTGGGCTTTGTTCGATCGTACCTTGACTCCGATTTTTGCAAAACAACCCGGGGGTTCAGTGATTCACAAATACATGTATATATTTACATGCAATATATATATATATATACATACATAGTATATGAATGTATGTAAGTACACAATGTGTGTATATATCTATAAAAAATAATAAATATACACATATGTACTATAATATAGGCATAGATATCCATGCATGGTCAGAAAAGCAAGATACGAAAGTGGAGAAGTTCTATTTCTCCAGTGAGCCATGCTTCAGCCCAGCGGATCTTGTTCTACTTGGCTTTTAGGGAACATGCCCTACTTACCCTCTGGTTATGACTAACATAGCCATGGAAAATGGCCCATGTATGCCCATTTATAGATGGTTTACCTATTAAAAATGGTGATTTTCAATGGCTATGTTAAATGACCAGATGGTAATATGTATTCAATCTACGCATGTAGGGCATTGTATATGCTTCATCTATTCATATTTATTCAATCTACTTAGATCTACGTAGTGTATTCAATCTACTGAATCTTCTGATTCAATTGTTTGACCATCTACAGTTATGGCCATTTACCAGTTATAACTGGTTATAAATGGGATTATACATTCTATAAATGGGGTTATAAGTACTTATAACTGGTAAATGGCCATAACTGTGTAATCGCTGAAATCGTTTTTTTCCTCCAGGTCTGACATGGTGAGATGACGCGAGATGACTCCTGTAGCTGTATGGAAGCTGACGTCAGTCTGACAGCATATTGCGTGCTTTTTTTTCCAGTGTTCCCATTGTTTGGATATTTAGCAAAACGACTGTAGTAGTCATGTTCGTTGTTGTTGTTGTTGTTGTTTCCGTTTGTTGCTTATGACTCATATGTCTTTCTGGTTGCTAGAAGACATCTGAAATTGAATCACAGATTTCCCGCCTTCAAAGGGTATTCAAGATCCCCTCAGCGTTGCCGTGGTAACAACCGAGGTATTTAAATTCAATTTTCCTCTTGGGTGACTTCATGGGTGGAGGCGACGAGAGGGACTGGGGTCTGTTTGCTCTTCAAGTGTTTAGAGCTTAGAGGTCCTTCTAAACATCTTGGAGAGCAATGCAACATTCTAAATAAACACTGTTAATATGTTGTTCAAGGGCATCTAAGGTTTAAGAGGATTATGTCCCATCATATTCAATATCACTTGTTCAAGGAGAAGCCAAAATTCTAAATCATTGGGTACCGCCGTGGGTCACTCGCCCGCATGGGCCATGAGGCATGTGTTTTTTTTTTCGCTAAAACCATTGCCCTGTTTTTGGAGATCTTATGGGCCATAGGAGCATACTTGTCTCCCATTTCTTTCGAACTGACATCAAGAAAAACACTGAACAACTGGTGGTCAGCGGTGGATCGTTGGGGAAATAAGCTGCAGCAAGAATTGGCGGCAAGACAGATATGCCGCATGACCAAGACTTGTGGCGAAAAGTCATAGCACCTCCTACCGTAGACCTGAACAGACATGTAGACGTAGGAGATATATTTATAGTTTCTAGCCTAGCAGCCATCCTATCTTTTTGAGGTGTAACAAGCCTGCTGTGGGCCACACTAGACATGTGTTGGTTCGCACTCAGGCAGGGACCCTACCAGTAACATCTGGGGTCTCAACAATGCGCCCAAAGTGAATGCTGACCTGGTTTAAGTTAAAATCTCATTTGAGCAGTGGCTTGATGATTCTTTCCGGGTTATACTATCCAATTATGTATATATATATAATTATTATTATTGTTATTGTTATATTACTATTTTTTTTTATTATCATTATCATTATCAGTATCATTATCATGATTATTATCATTATTATTGTCATTATT